CACTGATGTTTTCATGTATTAACTGCCTCTTTACATCCATTGCCCTTTTTTATTTACTGATTTCCTCCCACTGCAGGTGGCCATTTTGTGTTTTGACATTTATATTTTCCTCCAATCAGAAGTCTTGTGGGAATAAATTCTGTGTATTTAACCTTATGGCTTCTGGGTTTTGTGTCTCACTTAGAATGCTCTTCCATGCCCCTACATTGGTGTTCCCTACCCTGACAAAAAATGATGCTACCATTAAGCCCAAATCAGTAAGCCTTACTCCCACATTCAAGCTTCCAATCACCTTTTTGGTGACCCATTTTTTTTTTCTTTTTTTATTTCACCTTCATTTTAATCAACACTTTACAAAGTACAGAACATACTATTTTGGGAAACAGTACTTTTTTTTTCTCTCCATCATACCCTAACATGAATCTCGAGGGCTTTGTGTTTCAAGAACATAAGCATGGAGGCCCCAGGAGGTTGGGATAGGATGGCCAGTTTTCCCCTTCACCTAGACCTTGGGACCAATGATGCACCACTGCTATGGCTGGTGACCTGCGAATGCCAAGTGAGAGCCAGAGGGAACTGTGGGAAGGCAGGAAGTCCTCTGTATCCCCCTAAGATGGGGCTCTGGACAGGGACCCTCAGAGCTCCACCACGCACCCACATCCACCCATCCCCAACTCTGAAGATAAACATAAATGATTTTGGCATACAGCAAGATGAAGGCTTGGAACTGTTTCACTGTTAGCACCCTAATGTTTTGGAGCCGACTGCTCAACTCTTCCTGGATCATCTTCTGAATGCAGTTAAACTGAGGCAGTGGAAGGGAAAATGCACAGAGCTCGGCCTGTCTTGAAACCTGAATCTGACCTGCTTTTCACTCCACAGTCCACACCAGAGTTAGGGTCTCCAACTTGGTTGGACTCCCTTCCAGGATGATTTTCAATAGGTGTTGGGTTAGTGCACCATTCTTAAATAGCCAATTATCATAGGATTCTGAGCAAATAAAACAATGCAGTTAAGTGAATAGAATAGAAAAACTGTAGTAAATAGACTACATAGGGGGAAAAAAACTATCCTTAATGAGAAAATAATGCAATAATAAAACAAGAACAGAATACATACACAACTGGCCCTCCACAGCCACAGATCCCACACCCACAGATAGAAAATTTCAGGGAAAAAAAGGATGCTTGCTTCTATACTGAACATGTACAGACCATGTTTTCTTGTCATTTTCCCCTAAACAATCCAGTATAACAGCTATTTACATAGCATGTACACAGCATTAAGTATTATAAATAATAGAGATGATCTAAAGTATACAGGAGGATGTGTGTAGGTTATAGGCAAACACTACTCCCACTATTAACAGGGATTTGCACATTTACAGATTTTAGTATCTGTAGGGGTCCTGGAAACAATCCTCCGTGGGTGCTGAGGGACAACTGTATGTAATGAACATTCCAATAACAGGTCTACTTAGAAATTTTGAATGTTAATGAAAATTTAAAACTTCATAAAAAGGTAGGAAGATAAACTCAAGGAAATCTCCCAATAAAAATTAGAAACAAGAGAAAAGAAAGTGAAAGAAGTTATCCAAAAACTTAGTTTTTGAACAGTAACACTTTCAGGGAGAGAAGAAAAAAGGGATAAAAATCAAATGAATAATTAAAGAAGAGACTGGCTCAGTGGATGAAACTGATATAGCTGACATGTCTGAATATTTGAATGTCATTCATCTTTGTAGTCCTAGAGTCAGATACAAATCAGATAACCCAAATATCTGAAATACTAATCATTAGCAAAGTTTGGGGTCTTCTAAATAAAATTAATAAAGGAATAATGCTTGGGAAACAGAATTAGTGAGGCTAATTCCTCTTGGTATTAATAATGAAGAACAATATTTTATAATCTAGCATTCAGTATCTTGCACTGGTAGCAAATGAGCTGTGCCTGTAAGCTGTCAACACTTGCCCAAAAGCTGAAAAACTAGAACAAAGTTACTGTGGCCTAATCACAAAAGTGGTCAATAAGAACATCCCTGATACAGAGTAGCAAGTAGAGAAACTAGAGTTAAATTTTTCATCAAAACTAAGGTATTTGCCAGAGAAGGAGAGTAGAAGTCATATAGAAAAACCTTTTTTTTTTTCCTTTGAGAGTCTCATTCTGCAACCCAGGCTGGAGTACAGTGACACAATCACAGCTCACTGCAGCCTCAACACCCAGACTCAGGTGATTCTCCCACCTCAGCCTCCTGAGTAGCTGGGACTACAGGGGTACGACACCACACCCAGTTAATTTTTTGTATCTTTTTGTAGGGCTACACCCTATTGCCCAGGCTGGTTTCTAACTCCTGTGCTCAAGTCATCCACCCACCTTGGCCTCCCATAGTGCTGCGATTACAGGCATAAACCCCTGTATCTAGCAATATGGAAAAACATTGTATATGTTAACAATTATTTCACCTTTAAAATATATAAAATAACATCCTAGTTATCATAAAGCTCACAATAGAACACTGGTCATTAAAGCTAAAGAGCTTAACTGCGCAAGCAGGAAAGATTAAGCATATAAAACACAGTATGTAATGTCATAGGATTGTAAAAATAAACCTATTATGGAATTGAGAACATTAAACAAAAAAATGGGATGGCTGACATATAACTAGTACAGGAAACAAGTGAGCAAACCTCTCAAAAAACATCCTGCTTTAAATGCCTGCATTTACTGAAATCATTTTAGAGGAGAGTCAGTGGCTCACAACTTTGGATATAGGGAGGAGGTAACATTTAATAAGAGAGCTAAAGTGAGAAAACACTCCGAGAATCTAGTTAACAGGAAACTTACTTTACCTCCCCCATCTCTGCTATTAGTAAGACAACTAAGTATTTGTATATTTGGGTAGTTACATGGAATGTCTCTCCATGTCAGCCATATCTACAGTAAGTTCTTGTCAGCAAAATATAAGTTCTTTCCACAAGGTCCCTAAATGGACTTAAGATATCTCTGGATCCTTACTCACTTTCAAATGTCTGTAAATTCTGCGTATGTGCACGTTTCCATAAAGATACCTCAGCTTTTACTAATAGCTTCCAGAATAAGCTTCAAAAAGTTATACGCTTCACATTGAAAGATATTGTCCATTCATTCTTATAAGCCAAAAAATGTCTAGTTCATTATCTTTATATTTAACATACATTTCAAATTTCTCCTAAAATATGACTTTAATCATAAGGGGATTGACCCTAATTAATCAATCTCTCAATGTTGGACACTTATCTTAAAAAAACAGAGTTGCCCAAAATATTTTAAATAAACATTATGTAAGAAAAAGACTATGCTGAAGGCCTTAATGCAGTAGGAAAATCATAGCTAGAGAAAGGCCCTGTTGAACTTGATCACCAACAGTTCTTAAACATCAAGTTTTCTCCTCCATGATTTAATCATATTACCACTTTTCTATATACCTTTTAGTTGTGTTGTGGACATAAAAGCCATAATCTAATTTTCTTTTACTAGAATACTATTTTTTTTCTTTTTTCTTTGAGATGGAGTCTTGCTATGTTGCCAGGCTAGAGTGCAATAGCGCAATCTCAGCTCACTGCAATCTCCACCTCCTGGGTTCAAGCGATACCCCTGCCTCAGCCTCTTGAGTAGCTGGGACTACAGGCGTGCACCACTGCCCCGGGCTTTTTTTTTTTTTTTTTTTTTTTTTTTCACATTTTAGTAGACACAGGGTTCCAGCAGGTTGGCCAAGATGGTCTCAATCTCCTGACCTCATAATCCACCTACCTCACTCAGCCTCCCGAAGTACTGGGGTTACAGGCATGAGCCACCATGCTCGGCCTAGAATACTAATATCCCTACCCTACAAAGTTCCTACCATGAGTTGAAAAAGTTCTGTGAGGTACTGAATCACATTCACATCCTCTATCCTGAGAACACTATACTAGCATTTAACACCATGAAGAACTAACCATAGCTTCAGGGTGTAACTGCTGAACCCACACCCAGCTCAAAAATATTAACTGTAATAAATGTAATGCTCTTATCCTATTTTCCTGAGATTACTCAACATCTCAGAGAAGAGGATAAAAACAATTATTTTCTGCCTCAGATTCTCTAACCCTTAACATAGTCCTGAAAATGCAGCCAAAATGCTCACTTTTAAAAATCATTCTTTGAGAAATAAAAAAGTAATTACTGAAGAAGACAGACAAGCTTTAAGTGTGAGAAGGTATTATATGGCTAACATGAACACTAAACTTAACTGCATTTCTTAAATGCGTATGTACCAGGCACTGTGTTGTCTTTTAGACATATTCTTAAACTTCACAATTGTCCTGATGGTAATTCATCATTGTTCACATTTTACATTTGTAAAACAGTATTTAAAAGAGAGAGATAGAGACAGAGACAGAGAGACAGAGAGAAAGAGAGAGAGAGAGAGAGAAAGAGTGCACGGAAGGGCTTAGAGGCAACATAACTTCTCTAAGATCAGCTACTAAGTGGCAGAATTAGGACTCTAAAACACAGCCTTGCCTGATCATAGAGCCTATGCTTTTTAATGTCTTAGCATTTTGCCTACTCAAGCTAAATTGAAAATCCACTAGATTCTCAATTCTTATACTAGAAAGTGTAAGTCTTACTGATGGATGGGCCAGTAGTATTACCTGTGTATCTCCTATTATGTAGTACCACATGCATAGTAGCAACCCAAAGATAGCTAACTAAAGGAAGTCCATGCCCTACTGCAAAATAGTAGAATACCTTCAAGAAGAATGTATGATTTGGCCCATGAAAAACAGATCAAATGTTTTAATGAATGGCACGTATAATAAGAGAGAAAAGTAACCTTAGAAGAAACTGTTATATAGGTCTTATTTTAAAATAATAGCATGAACCCATGAAGTAATAATCATTCAAGAGTTATCAGTGATGAATATTAAAAAGTAGACATTTTACCTCTCAACTAAATGTTTAATCAAATAGGAATACTGAAGGCGCATTAACTTTTTTATTGAGGCACAACAAGGCATTGTAACTTGCCTGGACTTGAGGCAGTCAGTTTAGTAAGCTGAACGTTAATACAGTTAAGGATTAAGTGCAAACAATATACATTCACAGCTTGACTAGCGAGGCTACATCACAATTTATAAAGTGCCAGATTAGTGCTAATTGTCATTCAGCTTGATTTTTCACCTTAGGAAGGAAAACAAAAAAGTAAGGACCTCCTCCTTCCTCTAGGAATGAAAACATTTTCCTAAACCAATTGGTCATGAGAACAAGAACTACTTTTCCTTCAATCCCACTAATTAGAACACCATCCTTTTATTGTCAATACTGTAATGACTCTCAATCTTGATAAAGAAGATAGCCTGAAAACGTAGAGTATTTCCAGCTACTTCCATAAATTGCTCCCCTGTGCAGACGTAACCATATCTGGTCTCCCTGGAAGAGCTGAAGAATTGCATGATTGCTAGCAGTTTCATGGTCTGGAGCACCATCATTGGCATAGGCTGATACCAAGACCTCTTCATTCTTCATGAGGTTGACATACAGTGGCACATTCACTGCCAGCTTTAGCATGTGAAAAATGAAAACATAAGTGCCATTCACCGGGCAATTAAATCTACCAAGCTGAAGATCAAAAGTTTCTCCTAAGTTGTTCAGAAGAAGATCAAACACAATAGGTTGGTCTAAAGTTCCAGGGGCCAGATTAGAGGTTCTGGCTGCTGAGAAGGCAACTCGCATCTGCTGAGGCAGGGGGTACACATGTACTGGCAGTATGGTGGCTGCTGGATTTGACACTGGCACATCCACAGGGGTCATGCTACGGGAGTCTCCTTGTCCAGAGTCACCACTGTTAAAGGTTTCGTTGTCTCTTTCTGGGCTGCTCACCTGAGAAGAATCACTCCACCCTGCTGTTTTATTAGCAACAGTGAGTTTCTCATAATGAAGCAGTTAGCTTTGAACACAATATTTAACATTAGTTGGCTACTGAAACAGACAAAGATACATTTTATAGTAAATTCCAAAACAAAAGCAATATATAGCTAGATTATACTTTTCTAGATTTTTCTGGCAATAGGTTTTTATAATACCCTTCTAAAGCCAGAAAGGTCCAAGATAATCTTGTCTAATTGGTCCTTTTCTAAGAGTAAGAAAATGTGCCCCTCAAAAAGCAAGATAACTTAGCAAAGTCTAAAACTCAGGTCTGAACACTTTTTACTTAATCTTTCTCCCATAATTCTTAATTTCTTAGAGATCATTCTACAAAGCAGCTAATGTAGAAGGTCTTAAGAAAATGGGAGATTACATAAAACACCAATTTTTAGAACTACTAGCCACTAGGGAACTAAGCCCCATGATGAATGCCTGTTTTTTCTTTTAATTCCCAAGTTAATGTGACATCATACACTTTTAATGTTTTAAGTGCCATACAAAAACACTGCTCAGACTAAGGCAAAGGCAAATTGAATACTAGTTTTGTTTTGTTTTCAGAAGGAAAAGAATGCTTTCCTGTAACAGAGTTAATCTTCAGTGATCTTTTTTTCTCCATTATACCAAACTTTTAATAATTCCTTCACATTTTAAAAAGTGTTATAAGTATGCTGCTTTTGTTCCAAGTCACTGTGTCTTAATTGTTGCTTATTTGACTCTATTAATGCAGTGACACTAGAGTAAGTAGAAGTACCCATTATTACAAAACCACCATCCCGAGCCATCACATGAACTATCTGAAATCAGCATAGTGAATATATAAGGTTAAATATGCTCTGGTGTCGAGCAGATTTTTAAAAAATACCCACCCTTTTAATTCAATTTGCAGTGGTTTCCATAGCATTTTTAGGAGTCTAATATCTCCCTTAGTACTTTAGTATTACATTCAAGCAAATTGAAAAGCTCAACAAGATAAATACTGAAAAGCAATGTGTTTTGGGAAGAACTTGGTTGAGGATGCAGAAAGAACTAGAGACATGTTTGGGTAAATAAACTGTTCAGTTAATTATCCTTACCTCTTGAATTTGCTCGTGGACCACCAGATGTCCCTCCTCGCTTATAGCACTGCTGGAAATTATCCTAAAGTAAACATATAATATTTACCTTGGCATTAAAAATGCAGGACTATAATTGGTTATTACACAGGACAGCACTACTGGCTGGCAATCTGTAAGATTAAAGTCCCCTTAGTTCTTTATCTGGCCTCCTCCAGCAACCAAAGAAGTCAGATGTTTCCAAACACCAAGAAAAACAAGGCAAGAGCAACAGTGGCATTACTTGCTCATTTGTTAATTAACCCGATCAATTAGATATGTTAATGCCCCAAAAAGAATAAAGCACTTGGGGAATACTATGTAAAAGATACAATGCTAGGGAATGAGAGGCATTTTTAAATGTGGCATGGTCCTCTGTCCCTCATCTCAATATAAAAGGACATCATAAAGCAAGAACACAGATTTTTTTCAATGTTGCTCTATGTATACACCAAACTGGGAAGACTAATACCAACTATGTTGGAGTTTGGGAATTTTTTTTTAAGGAATTCATAAAAAATTATATTGTATAAATATATTTATTGCCTAGAAATATAATCCAATATATTAAGGAAAAAATGTTCCAGGGGCAGTACTTCAAACAAACTCCCCAAGTATGAAGGAAGCCAACCTTCATACAATCCATGAAAAGAATAATTAGTGGTACAATTATTATATGCAATAAAAAATTGAAGCAGGACAAGAAGGCACACAATAAAAATAATAAAGACTCTTATTCCATACTCCCAGTCATCGCTTTGCAAGAGCAACCAGCATTATCAATTTCTTGTTCCTCAGGAAGAAATGTAAAAGAGCACACAAAAATACTGTAATAGTGGTATTAAGAAGAGACAGTTCTTTTACTGACATCTATATTAATCGACATCCTCCCCTCACATACATTCCCTCAGAATCATGTAAGAACATCTAATATTTGCATGGCTGATATACACAGCTGGCTCTGTAGTGCTAAGTACTTAAGTGCTTTAGTTCATTTAATTCTCAGAATATCTCACGGAGAAAACCTCACTACCCTTCAGCATTAGATGAAAAACAGATGAGGAACTAGAGCTCAAAAAGTTTCACTAACATATCCAAAGTCACAAGGCAAGAGAAGTGATAAATGAGGGGTCAAACCCAAGGCATTTAGATCCAAGGTGTTTTTCACACTTTTTTTTTTCTTTTTTTGAGATGGAGTTTTGCTCTTCTTGCCCGGGCTGAAGTACAATGGCACGATCTCGGCTCACTGCAACCTCCTCCTCACAGGTTCAAATAATTCTTCTGCCTCAGCCTCCTGAGTAATTGAGATTATAGACGTGTGCCAGCACATCTGGCTAATTTTGTATTTTTAGTAGAGATGGAGTTTCACCATATTGGTCAGGCTGGTCTCAAACTCCTGACCTCAAGTGATCCACCCGCCACAGCCTACCAAAGTGATAGGATTACAGGTGTGAGCTGTAATCTCACACTGCACTAGGCCTTCACCCTTTTCAATACTGCCTCTGTGTAGATACCCATCCTACCTCATGTAACTGTAAGCTCTTCAAGCTTAGGTATTTTTACATATTGCCAACAGAATTCAGTATGGTACCATATACATACTCAAAGGCTTGTAAAACTTCAAAACTAAAAATGCTGATGTAGTATAGATTCAAATCCATAAATTCCCAAGGTTTGTTAAAGTGGAATTTCTAACATACTCTTACAAGTCTTTTATCATATGTAGTAAAGAAAATATGCTGGGTTCTTCAAATAAGAATAAACAACAACAACAACAACAACAAAAAACCTTATGAAAAAGGGCTTTGCTATATTTGCTTTTCAGGCAAATTAAGTTGAAGGCAATATAGTAACGTTAAAATCATGGGCTCTAGAATAAGAAAGTCACATTCTAATCTTCATTTACAATTTCTTTGATGAATGACCTAAACCTGTGAACCCCAGTTTCTCCTATAAAATAATGAATTAATGCAAACAACATGATTCATAATGTTCTTAATACCTTCTAAGTTTCATATATCAAGCAGTTATTTTTCTTCCTTGGGTAACTGGAAAAAGCTTCCAACTCGACTCTCCCTAAGACTTAACGAGTAGTTCTAAAAGTAAGAGTGCACTTTTAGAAAACAAATTATGACTGCTATATACTTGAATCACCAACGTAACATCAACAACTGTACCACTAATTCAACTGTGACAACTATTCTTACTTACCCTTTGGGAATAAGGTGATCCAGAATACTCTCTAGCTTGGAACTGCAGCTGGCTATAATTTCCATTGGAAATGGAAGGGAGTCCTCTGTAAGTATCAAAACCTAATAAATAAACAAACTTAGATAAGATTATGGACAAAATCATATTAAACTTTTTTTGTTTTTTTGGTTTTGTTTTTTAGCTGGAGTCTCGCTGTGTTGCCCAGGCTGGAGTACAGTAGCACGATTTCAGCTCACTGCAACCTCCATCTCCCGGATTCAAGCGATTCTCCTGCCTTAGTCTCCCAAGTAGCTGGGATTAGAGGTGCACACCACCACATTCGGCTATTTTTTGTATTTTTAGTAGAGACAGGGTTTCACCATGTTGGCCAGGATGGTCTCAATTTCTTGACCTTGTGTCCACCCGCCTCCCAAAGTGCTGGGATTACAAGCACGAGCTACCACGCCTGGCCATATTAAACTTTTTAACAGTCTAATTCTATATGCTTTAAAAGTTAAACTGATTATATAACGCCATCATTAGACTTATGACTTCTTTAAGCAAACTCTACTAATATTACTTCCACAGTAAAACACACATTTATAAAACACTGCTGTCTTCAAAGAAGCCAGGTTTAGACATTTACCACTGCTGGAATGCAAGTTGTGGTTGGGAAAGGGTGGTGGTAGGGCAGTTAGCTACTTAGGACCTCTGTCTAGAATTGTTTTTTTGTTGTTTGTTTTTTTATATGCAGTGTCCCGCTCTGTTACTCAGGCTGGAGCATAGCAGTGAGATAACAGCTCACTGTAACCTCAAATTCTTGGACTCAAGCATTCTTTCCAGTTCAGCCTCCCAGGTAGCTGGGACTACAGGTGCACATCACAATGCCCAGCTAATTTTTAAAATTCTTTGCAAAGAGAGTGTCTCACTATGTTGCCCAGGCTGGTCTCAAACTCCCAGCCTCAATGATCTTCCTACTTTGGCACCCTAAAGTAATGGGATGACAGGCGTGAGCCACTGCACTCAGCCTGTCTAGAGTATTTTTGTTAATAATAAGTACTGGCTAGGAAACTTGGAACCATAACAAAAATTTAAGAGATTATCACTATTATAGTCTCAAATTCTATATTCTTTGTGACATAATCTAACAAATAACTAGAAATTGGGCATTTTGTAAGTATGACGTACTTTTAGCAGTTTGACTTAACTTTTTTTGACTTACAAAAGAAAAACATTATTAAAATATGAAATTCATCCTTTGTAAAAGAAGATGGTGAAACTTTTCTACTTCAGTAGTCTCAAATTCTAATCTGCTTTTCATTCAGAAAGTTAGTTCCTCTGTTACAGAGAATACGTATATTAAAAATATTCTACTATCCACAAACAGAAAATTCTCTACTACATTGTAAATGACAAAAGGGAGCAGGGTTAGGTAAAAATGGTTTGAGTCAAGTAAACATACAGACGAAATAATTCAGTAGAATTAAATTTTATTCAGGGCATACCTTTATAACCACCAGGGGACCGATAGGAATTGGTTATTAATCTCCCACCACGAGTACATCCTCTAACAGATCCCCGGCTATTGACAAATGGCTGAGTAGGTCTGGGAAATACATTCGTCTGTGCTGGGTAAAAGGCAAGGCTACCATTGCTTACTTGAATAGTTCCATCGGGATGATAATTTGCTGCTTAAGAAAAACGGTTTTAGAGTCTAAGAGTTAAATGGTAATAGTCTTTATACTTAAAAGCCAATATATATCAAAATCATTAATTTGCTCCCTTTAAAAATAAATAGGAAATACATTCATATATATAATTCATCTACATATCTCAAATACATAATTCATATACATAATGGATTATTTAGCCTAAAAAAGGAAGAAAATTTTTACTCATGCTATAACATGAATAAACTCTTAAGACATGCCAAGTAAAATAAACCAGTTTCAAAAGCACAAATATTGTATACCACTTATATGAGGTACCTAGAGCAGTCATTTTCAGAATCAGAAAGTAGAATGGTGGTTGCCAGGGGCTGGGGGGAGAGGAGGAGGAGGAATTAGTATTAAATGATTACAAAGTTTCAGTTGGGGAAAGATGGAAAAGTTCTGGAGGTGGACAGTAGTAATAATTACACAACAATTTGCATGTACTTAATGCCACAGAACTATACAATTAAAAATGACTGAAATGGTAATTTTTATGCCTATTTTACAACCATTTTTAAAAACCAGGCTAAATATTCCAAATGAGGGAGTAAAAGAAAACTGATTCTAATTAGTACTATATCTGAGAAGGCACATTTGCGTACATCACCTGCCCTGTCTTTCAACAGTACAGGGGAGCAGAGAATCAGGTCATTTGTGCCTAGGTCTCAGGAGTTATATTACTGCCTCTTCGTCACTTGGTTAGCCAAGTACTCAGAACGCTCATTCATTTGCTCCACCTTCAGTTAAAAAATTCAATAGGAATCTGAAATACCAATATGAAAAATCTACAACTGCTTCTTAAATTAAGACAAAGTACAAAGTTACCTATTCTTGTATGAAAGACTCAAAATAGCCTCCCATTTCTAAGCAAATGATACAATGAGCATACTAAGTTATATCTTCATTCTTCAATCTTTTTTTATAAGATAAAAAAGGACATTCTGTTAACCACAGAATGGTTTCAAAATCCTCATATAAGCAGCCAGATGGTGCCCATTTACCTCAATCACTGTCTGTGGTAATCAAAGCAAATAGATTTAAAAATACAAACCTACTTCAAGGTTAAATCAGCCATCTCAGTTCCATGTCTACAAAAATTAAAATTAATAGGTAAGCTTAATACAAGAAAAGGCATTAGGTTTTTCTCAACATTGGAGGAACACATGAAGAAATAATGCTTACTAGTCAGGAGAATACTTCTCAAGTGTCACTCCAGACTTGCTAGACTTGCTTTCCATTTAACTGGCTATCCATCTAAGTCTTCCAAATACCATATGCAAAGATCTTACCAGTCTCTTGAGAAAGGACAGTTTGTTCTACATGTATAGCTGGCAGTTGGCACTGGGGTGGCGTCTGTGTACTTGCTGTAGTAAAACTTTGATTGTAGCCAGGTGAATAAGAGGATTCTTTTATTTCTTGTTCTTTTCGTGGAGGCAGAGGTGCATTAACATTGAACACCTTAAAAGACAAGAACACACTGAGTCATCTGGAAAGTTTCAGAGAAAATGCTCAAGGGTGACATCCAGCAAAATTCTACAATCAAAAACTTCTATTTTGCAGGCAAAGGACTTGAACAGACATCTCTCCAAAGAAGATAAATGTGCAAATAAGCACATGAAAACATGCTCACTATCATTAATCATTAGGAACATGTAAATCAAAACGATAATGCAATACAGTTTTATACTCATTAGTAGGACTACTTTCAAAATGACAGAAAATAAGTGTTGGCAAGGATGTGGAGGAACTGAAACTCTCATGCCTTGCCGGTAGGCATGCAAAATGGTCCAGCCACCACTATGGAAAATAGCATACTGCCTTCTCAAAGCATACACAATACATGATCCACTAATTCCATTTCTAGGTATATACCCAAAATAATTGAAAATAGGGACTAAATAGATATTTATATACCCACGTTCATAGCAGCATTATTCAGAATATCCAAAAGGTACAAACAACTTAAATACTCTTGAATGGAGAAGCAAAAGGAAGTACATACATGAAATGGATTATTATTCGGCAGTACAAAAATGGAATTCTGATATACTCTATAACATGAATGAACTCCGAAAACATTATGCAAAGTGCAAAAATCCAGATATAAAAGGAAAAATGATACAGGATACCACTTAGATAGAATAGGTAAATTTGTAGAAACAAAGTGAATAGAGGTTACCAGAGCTGTGGAGGGGGTTACAAATAAGAAGTTGTTGCTTAATGGATACTAAGTTTCTGTTTGGAATAATGAAAAAGTTCTGGAAATAGTGATGATGTCTGCACATTATGAATGTATTTAATGCCACGAATTGTATACTTTAAAAAGGTTAAAATGGTAAATTCTGTGTTACATATATTTTACCATAGTAAAAAAATCAAAACAACACTCCTCCTTGATTCCTGACAGAATTTACACTGAAGAGCAAAAGTTAATCTTCCTGCTATTATGCTATCATAATAATGCTTACTGAGAATAAAAGCTATATAAGGGAAAGGAGTTTTTCAAAAACTAAAGATGAATGAAATATTTTACCATTTACTGAATCTTTACCAGGTTGCAAGCAATGATCTCTCCTTCTATGACTGTCTACCTCCCCAATTCTGCTCCGTTTTTCCTTGTATCACACAGCACCCGATATACAGGTATTTGTCTCCCTAGCCCTCCTACCTCCATAGTAAAATGTCGAGTTTCCTGAGCCTACTTTTCTTTTTCTCACTGCTACAACCTCAGTGATTAAGAACAGTTCCTGGTTTTATAACTATTATATAATCAATAAATCAGTAAGGACCAATGTGAACTAGGTGGGATTCAAACAGGCAGAGAAAACAGATTGGCATGAGCAAACGGTATTGTGACAAGAATGTATAAGGCAAGCTCAGGGGACTAAGTGTGGCAGGTTAACAGATGTGAAAAGGTACTGAGTGTTAGGCCGAGGACTCAATTTCCTTCTGTAATGGAATACTGCTTGCTTTTAATTAGAAAAAAGAAAAGGTAAAACCAATGTGGCTATACTATGCAGGATGAACTGACAGAAAAAGAGTGAAAAGCAAGGAAATCAAGGTATCTATCTAGAACTAAGATATTCTAAGTGATCAGTTGAGTGAATTCAGCTGTCTGGATTCACCAGCTGATTTCCCTGGGTGGTGCCTGCTTTCCACTGTTACTCCACTGGCCCCACTACCACCATCATTCCAAAGTGTTTGGAGTAGGACACCAACAGGAAGGGTATTTACTGGCTCACTGAAGCTACCCCCACCACAAAGAACTGTTTTATACTAGTCTGTGTTTAGAGAATTAACATACCAAACTAGCTGTAATATTAGCAAAAAAAAAAAAAAAAACCAATCTATTAAAATTTGGAAAAAAAAAAAAAAAAAAAGAAGCTGCATAATTCAAAACACCACACAAATCTGAACAAATCTCCAAAAACCATCTTGAGGCCAGGATAAAATGAAATGCAAGTTTCTGCAATGACAGAACACCCATGTATGTGTCTGGTATTTCAGGTTACTGATGTTAGGGAATAACACTAGTACTGATACTAGTATTTTTTTTTTTTAATTATTTATTTATTTTTATACTACTTTAGGTTCTGGGGTACGTGTGTAGATCATGTGGGATTGCTGCATAGGTACCCACATGGCAATGTGGTTTGCTGCCTCCATCCCCCCGTCACCTACATCTGGCATTTCTCCCCATGTTATCCCTTCCTGACCTCCCCATTCCCCTGCTGTCCCTCCCTTGGCACACCCCAACAGACCCCAGTGTGTGATGCTCCCCTCCCTGTGTCCATGTGTTCTCACTGTTCAACACCCACCTATGAGTGAGAAAATGTGGTGTTTGATTTTCTGTTCTTGTGTCAGTTTGCTGAGAATGACCGTTTCCAGGTTCATCCATGTCCCTACAAAGGACACAAACTCATCATTTTTTATGGCTGCATAGTATTCCATGGTGTATATGTGCCACATTTTCCCTGCCCAGTCTATCTTCGATGGGCATTTGAGTTGGTTCCAGGTCTTTGCTATTGCAAACAGTGCAGCTATGAACATACGTATGCATGCATCTTTATAATAGAATGTTTTATAATCCTTTGGGTATATACCCAGTAATGGGATTACTGGGTCAAATGGTATTTCTAGTTCTAGGTCCTTGAGGAAGTGCCACACTGTCTTCCACAATGGCTGAACTAATGTACACTCCCACCAACAGTTTAAAAGTGTTCCTATTTCTCCACATCCTCTCCAGCATCTGTTGTATCCAGATTTTTTAATGATCACCATGCTAACTGGTGTGAGATGGTACCTCACTGTGGTTTTGATGTGCATTTCTCTAATAATCAGTGATGATGAGCATTTTTTCATGTTTTTGTTGGCCATTTTATGAGACTAACATCATCCTGATAGCAAAACCTGGCAGAGGCTCAACAAAAAAAGAAAACTTCAGGCCAATATCCATGAGGAACGTCTTCGATAAAGTAATGGCAAACCAATTGCGACAGCACATCAAAAAGCTTATCCATCACGATCAAGAAGGTTTCATTCTAGGGATGCAAGGCTGGGTCAACATACACAAATCGATAAATGTAATCCACCCCATAAACAGAACCAAAGACAAAAACCACATGATTATCTCAACAGATGCAGAGAAGGCTTTCGAAAAACTTCAACAGCCCTTTATGCTAAAAACTCTCAATAAATTAGGTATCGAAGGAATGTATCTCAAAACAATAAACGCTATTTACAACAAACCTACAGCCAATATCATACTGAATGGGCAAAAACTGGAAGCATTCCCTTTGAAATCCGCCACTAGACAAGGATGCCCTCTTTCACCACTCCTATTCAATGTAGTATTGGAAGTTCTAGTCAGAGCAATTAGGCAAGAATAAAAAATAAACGGTATTCAATTAGGAAAGGAGAAAGTCAAATTGTCTCTATTTGCAGATGACATGATTGTATATTTAGAAGACCCTATCACCTCAGCCCCAAATCTCCTTAAACCAATAAGAAATTTCAGCAAAGTCTCAGGATACAAAATCAACATGCAAAAATCACAACCATTCCTATACACCATTAACAGACTAAGAGAGAGCCAAATCATGAGCAAACTGCCATTCACAATTGCTATAAAAAGACTAAAATACCTAGGAATGAAACTAACAAAGAATGTAAAGGACCTCTTCAAGGAGAACTACAAACCACTGCTCAAGGAAGTAAGACAGGACACAAACAGATGGAGAAATATTCCATGCTCACGGTTAGGAAGAATCAATACCGTGAAAATGGCCATACTTCCCAAAGTAATTTACAGATTTAATGCTATTCCCATCAAGCTACCAATGACCTTCTTCACAGAACTGGAAAAAAACACCTTAAACTTCATATGGAACCAAAAGAGAGCTGGCATAGCCAAGACAATCCTAAGCAAAAAGAACAAAGCTGGAGGCATCACGCTACCTGATTTCAAACTATACTACAAGGCTACATTAATAATTAGTATTGAGGCCAGGCGCGGTGGCTCAAGCCTGTAATCCCAGCACTTTGGGAGGCCGAGGTGGGTGGATCACGAGGTCAAGAGATCAAGACCATCCTGGCCAACATGGTGAAACCCCGCCTCTACTAAAACTACAAAAAATTAGCTGGGCGTGGTGGTGCATGCCTGTAATCCCAGCTACTCAGGAGGCTGAGGCAGGAGAATTGCCTGAACCCAGGAGGCGGAGGTTGCGGTGAGCCGAGATCGCGCCATTGCACTCCAGCCTGGGTAACAAGAGCGAAACTCCGTCTCCAAAAAAAAAAATAAATAAATAAATAAATAAATAAATAATAATAATTAGTATTATTAAGCTGTTAGTAGAAAACCCTGTTTCTCACTCACACATTTTGTTTGTTTAATATGGGTCCTCAGCTTTGCCTGTTACTAATTCTGAAAGAGGGAATTGTGCTCTGATAAAACACCTATTCAAAATTCTAGAGGTGGATTTTCTATTCTTCTGCCACAAACAGTATTGCCATTGTCCAAATATAATTCTACCAACCCAAATAAGTTTTACAAAAGGCAAACTTTTCACATAGTATCCAATAATTATGCAAGAGAAACAATGGCTTTTTAACAGGAATAATTAACTGCAATCATCATTCATGTTTTATACTCACTGTCTGCATGGCTTGGAAGGGTGCTGTGTTAATGGTTACTGAACTACTACTTGCTGGAGGTGACTGGAAGCCCTGTTCAGAGCCCTTTGCCATGGAAGGATTTGCAGAAGCTAGTGAAGACGCTTTCTTGCCTGGGGGAATTGCTGCCTGGGGAGGAGAAATGCAGTATCAGCCAATCACCTGCCACATAACAAGCAGTTAACTTACTCTAAAACCCAAACACAAAACAAGCAGTTAACTTACTCTAAAACACAAACTGGCATAAGTCAGCAAGTTCTTTAGGATGACATTTGGACACAGGAATGCAAAAGAATAGCTTTTGCTTACAATTTCAAATCTCAATTGCTGAGGATGCACACCAGTATTTGCTTTGCACAGCTTGCTGACTAAGTCAGAGTCTTACCAATAATCAGTCTAATAGATGAGGGACTCAACTTTTTACAGGCACCTAGTCCTTTTCAAACCCTGAAATGGTACTTTCCAGTTAAGAACCTAGTATTATTGAAAATTTATACAGCAGAATTGGATTTAAGAAAAACCTTGGGTTAGTTGTCTAGTATTAATTTTTCTCTATTTTAAACACTTATTAGTGGATTTCTAAGTCAGCTACCTAAAACAGAAAACAATTCCAATCCAATTTAAGTAATCCTTACCTAAGGAAGCCACAAGTTCCTGACATAACAGATTATAAATCCAAAGGCTTAAAAAAATACCAAAAACCAATCTCAACTAGATTGTGAAGCAGATAGCTATGAGTTACTTGGTAACAATCACTTCTTCCTCTTCTTAAAATGAGGAATGAGATAATTTAAATTTAGATCATATCAGCACCATAGAAACTAAGGATTATCTATATTTTCTTATATTCTATAATGCATACATATCCTTAATAGTTAACAAAATATATCTGATAGTTGCTAAATTACCCCTTGAAATTCATTTTACTACGTCCATCTCAAGGATTTACTCAAACTTAGCAAAAACTATAACTCAGAATTGAAAGCACAAACATAATACTCTAAACTCCTTTTTTTTTTTTTGAGACAGAGTCTCACTCTGTCACCCAGGCTAAAGTGCTGTGTTAACAGTTACTGAACTACTTGCTGGAGGTGACTGGAAGCCCTATTCAGAGCCCTTTGCCATGGAAGGATTTACAGAAGCCAGTGAAGATGCTTTCTTGCCTGGGGGAATTGCTGCCTGGGGAGGAGAAATGCAGTATCAGCCAATGGTGCGATCTCAGCTCACTGCAACCTCCACCTCCTGGGTTTAAGCAATTCTCTGGCCTCAGCCTCCCGAGTATCTGGGACTAGAGGCACATGCCACCACACCCAGCTAATTTTTGTATTTTTAGTAGAGACAGGGCTTCACCATGTTGGCCAGGCTGGTCTTGAACTCCTGACCTCAAGTGATCCACCTGCCTCAGCCTCCCCAAAAGGCTGGGATTACAGGCATGAGCCACCGTACCCAACCCAAAATACTTTTGACAAAGCCAAAACAAAACTAATTCATTTCAACTCAGTAGGTGCTAATATTAACTATATAAAGTTATTGAGCTTTTAGTTACACAAATAAGAGACTTTTCTCCTTTTTCAATGTAAAAGTCCTTCAATGTAAAACTTGACTTAATGCTACCTATACTTTTTTATGTTAAAATTGACATTTATTGCACTAGATACGACAATACAATATTATATCTATTTATGTGGCAAAGCCACAATAAAGTTACCTGTGTAAGTTCCAAGATCACAACATCTATAGAAAGCAATACATTAATAAAGTATAAATGTTACATCATTCAACTAATCATGCCTGTAATTCATAAGATAAACTGGCTCTGCTATTCTTTAAGACACAAAAGAAATTAAGACAATTGGTCTTTTACCTCAGGAGTCTCTGAGGTCATAAACTCTGTTTCAGATCCAGAAGAAGCCTGATCAGTAGTAACCAAGCAAGCATTTGAGTTACAAGTAACTGGAGAAGAAGTAGCCTAGACACAGGAAAAAAGGCACATTTTGTTCACTTTATATTTCTTGGGCCCTGGTCTTCCTAATATGTTACTCTAACTGAAAAGCCATATGTGCCAAGAACCCTGCTAAACACACTTTACACATGTTAATATATTTAATCCTAACAGTAATCTGTGAGGTAGATACTATTCTCGTTTTATTGACAATTAAGCAGTGGCAAAGCAAGGTTAAGAAATCTGCCCAAGATCACATTACAATTAACTGGCAGAGCTGAGATTCAAGCCCAAGCAGACTGCTACACTGCCTTTCCAGGCCCGGTCACAAAACTACACATCTCATCCCATTTTCACTGATTCTTGGCCCTGCACTAGATACCATTCACAGGAAGGTGAGTGCTGGGCACCTTTAACAATGTAGGCATAGCTCTGCCAGAGATCCTAATAACGATGCTTTCACGCTAAGTACTACCAGCGTCCGAAAGAGGCAGGCTGAAGTATAAACAGGACGAATAAGCTCTACATAAATCAGAATGAAAATTCCAGTGAAAAATTAAAGTTGATAGTATGTATAAAATAAAAATTGGGAGAAAGCACATTAGGAACTAAAGTTGTGACAACTGTAGCCAACAGAAAATGAAAAGAGTAGCTAGGAAAGACCTCTATGGCACAACAGGTATTCAAATATAGCAGAGACACCCATAAAAATCTGGCAACAGCAAGATTCAAAGTGTCAGCAAATCCACTCCTTTTATCTAAATGCTTCTGTGTGGTTCTCAGAAGCCCAAGTAATAAAATAGCTGAACTGGAAACTAATGAAGGGTAACAAAACAGAGAAACTATGTTTTTGTGACCTTCTTGAAAAAACCATTATGGTATGCTGCTTTTTAGGAAGAAGAATGGAGATTAAGTTTTAAGATCTTATGGAAAAAAAATGTCAGAAACCCTTCTGAACATTTTATATAACCAAATAAATAGGCATAACTTAGATCTGGCCAAAATATTAGAACCATCATGAGATTAGAGTGTTTCTAAAACTAGGTCTTTCTTTTGGCTCTGTCATTAATGAGACAAGAGCCCAAGAAAAGCAGAACTGGCTGCTGTGGGGAAATAACTCTACTGCTGAGGGAAATTCCACAGATGCTAAGTTAAGGCATCTTAGGCCATTTGATAATCTTTAAATGGCTTGAATTTCAGTTAAAAGGTTCATTTAATAACAAAGACATTTACATTGGTATTTACTTAGAAGTGATGGCAGCTCTTCCTTCCAAATTACCATTCTTTAAGTAGACCAGTTGGAGGTGGGATGATGGTGAATAAACATGTTTGAAACTAATGTTCCAAAAAACGGGTGCGAAGATTGATCCAGAAAGCTTTTGTCTTTTTGAGACGTTGTCTTGCTTCATCGCCAGGCTGGAGTGCAGTGGCATGATCTCAGCTCACTGCAATCTCTGCCTCCCGGGTTCAAGTGATTCTCCTGCCTCAGCCTCCCGAGTAGCTGGGACTATAGGCGTATGCCACCACGCCTGGCTAATTTTTTATACCCTCAGTAAAGACAGGGTTTCACAGTGTTAGCCAAGATGGTCTTGATCTCCTGACCTTATGATCTGCCTGCCTCAGCTTCCCAAAGTGCTGAGATTAAAAGCATGAGCCACCATGCCCAGCTCAGGAGGCTTTTAAAAATATAGGTAACACCCTAGAAAATTGTGCTCCAACAGGTGTAAGGTCTTATCTAGAAATGTGTATCTGATGCACCCATCCCACAGCCTGCACCAGAGAACTACTAACCTAGACTAGAGCTTTTAAAAAACTTTAATTTGTCAATTGAAAGCCTTATGCAGAATCCTAAACAGCTAGAACAGATAAAATTTAACTGTTTTAGTAAAAGCAGTGAGTGAACTGGAGGAAAGTAGGAAAAACCCTAAAATACCCTGCTCAACAAATACAGTTTGAAAATTAAGAGCTGGGTGCAGTGGCTCACATCTGTAACCCCAACACTTTGGGAGACTGTAGAGGACGACTGCTTGAGCCCAGGAGTTTGAGACCAGCCTGGGCAACATAGTAAGACCCATCTCTCTTACGGAAAAAAAAAAATTGAACCACCACCTCACCAAAATATATACAAACCACTGTAAACAAATGTTATTTACTCCAAAGCTTTAGAAATAAAGGGCTGCAACTGTTGAACAACCTTGTCAAAATGTTTAACTTATAGTAAAAGCAGCTACTGTCAGGAGAACTGCCATAAGCTTTTCATAGGGACACAGAGAAATTTTTGTTCAAAGGTAATGACGAGAAAACAAGTGAACCTTCTTACTATTGATGGAAATGGAACTGGCATTCATTTAGCAATGTCAGTGATCTGGTCCATTTGTATCTCTAAGTTTATTCTGTAAAAATAAGTTCCACAGAATGTGAACTACTGTAGGGGGTAGGGGACTGGTTAACAATGAATTAAACACAATTAATTTCTTTCTACAGACCCTTTACTATGCTAATAAATTAAACAACTTAAGTAGCTCAAGAGAACATAATATTCTTAGACAAGGCACCCTCTGATCTCTTCAGGCTTGCTCTCTCCTTACTAAAGTCAGCAAACCTGTATTACAATAGATGTTTTCAGCATAGTCATCAGGTAATCATTTTAGGACAAGTTATATTTAGTCTACAAAACAAGATATGCTTAGAACATGTTTAATAATTTTATTAGGTACATTAGAATCAGTAAGTCTGATTATTCTTTCCAAAGTAAGAGCTTCTTCCTTCAGTAGCAAAGAAGAATAAAAGATTAATTTGGAAAGTTACCTGTAATGGCTCTTGAAGAAAATCACTTTGACTGGACAAATTTTGTTCTTTAGATGCTGCAAGGAGTAAAATAAACAGTAACTACTAAGGGAAGACAAAAGTTTATGCATATCAACTAGGAGGAAACTAAGGTATACACTTCACAGAAAAAGGCATTAGCTGGAAGGACTAAGTCTCAAGTTCACCATGCACTTTAATCTATTCGAGTTTTAAAAAGAGAACTGTAGAAGAATGGAAAATACTAGTTCCACTGTGACACAGAGTGATGTTTTAAGGTTGAATGGGCAAAGTAGCATTTCAAGACTTTCAAAAAAAAAAAAAAAAAGAACTAAGACATTTAAAAATAACTGATAATAGTGATCTGGAAGATAAGACCTGAGCTACCAGGCATAGCAATTAACTGATAAACTTAAGTTTCACAAATTTCAAAGTCAACCTTATCTGGATCATCTGTTCAGTTTTTTTCTGATTACATACATTAACATACTTTTCAATTATATAGTTTGTTTCTTCTTGTTAATATCCATCATTTTTATTAGTTACTCTCTATTTACTCTCCTTACTTCATCCAGGAATTGCTACACCAATCATCAAGCTGGTGTATACTGCTCACTACAGCTGGACTAGCTTTATGTCACTCCTCTCTGGAGGGAAACAAACACGGAGCAAAAGGCCTAAGCACTGAAGCATCTGGCCAGATTCAAAAGTAGTCTCCTTCATTAGTTACTGTGTTAATCACTGTTCTACACTTCATTGTAGTAATCTGACCAGTAGTTAAGACCCAAAAGCCTCAACACTAGATTTAGAGTCCGAAGGAGTCAAGCAAGTTCTAGTTAGAATTCACTCCAACAACATAAACTATAAAAAAGCTATTGAGTATTTCCATTCACCTAGCCAGAGCCTTTCTCCAAAACATGAAACCAAGTCAGTTAAGTACACTAATGTCCTAATGGTAATTTACCCACATATAACTGTTAACAGATGGATACAGTTAGAAAAAATACACCAACATATTAGGACATCTAAAATAATATCATTTGAAAAGACAACAACAACAAACAGCTGGAAGCTCAAGATGTTTGCTCCAAGTCTTTAGCATGATTACATACCTACGGGGCTACCTGGAGTAGCTGAAGGCGGCTGTGACGATGGAATTGCACTTGAAGGTTTGTCAAAGTCCAGAACAGACTCCTAAAGACATGATTTTAAATAAGGAGTAAAAAACAAAGATTAGTCATTTAAAAGCTATTACCATTAAATTATTCATGATGCTGCCTATAGACTATTAGCTACAGATATCTAGCTAAAGCTATAAGTATCTAGCTAATCACTATCTCAAGAGGTCAAAAAGTCTTCATTGAAAAAGAAATTAAGAATTGAAAGTAAAATCTAAAGTAACTGCCAACCCTTAAGGCGTGTAGAGTGTTAAAACCACAAGCACAGGCCGTGCTCTATGGCTCACACCTGTAATCCGAGCACTTTAGGAGGCTGAGGTAGGAGGACTGCTTGAGCTCAGGAGTTCAAGACCAGCATGGGCAAAAAAGTAAGACTTTCTTGCTACTAAAAGTTTTTTTAAGAATTAGCTAGGCATGGTGGTATGTGCCTGTAGTCCCAGATACTTAGGAGGCTGAGACGGGAGGATCACTTGAGCCCAGGAGTTTGAGGCTACAGTGAGCTATGAACACGCCACTGCACCCCAGCCTCAGCCAGCAGAGCTAGATCATGCCTTTAAAAAAAAAAACAAAACAACAAAAACACTACAATTGTAATTCTAAAGCCTAAGTCAGAAAACAAACTCTTAACCTTACTAAGGCCCTAAACACAGTCATCAATCCTAGTCTACTCAGAACCCTCATTTTTATTACACCCAACCAAGGAGCATGTATTTATTTCAACCATTTACTAACTCATGCTGTTAAAACACTTTCACAATGAGAAACCATTCTCTTTTATCTACCTATCTTGGTTCTCCCAAAAAACTTCCCAGTATTTTGCATACTTAAACTACACCCTTGCAGGGAGCATTTAAGTTCTTTTATCTTCAAGTAATCTGATGGTATAGGCAATTCCTACATTTTGCAAATAAGTGTGGGAGGTTAAATAAACAGCTGGTAACAGAACTGAAATTTAAACCCAGGCCTATATTCAAAGCTCAGGATCTTTCACTAAACAAAAATACTTATTTGACTACTTCAGTCCTCAGTAATCTCATATCATTCTCAAATTCTGTAAGTGTCTGTATCTCACAACTTAATTAAACATACTGTATAACACAATTTATCATTTAACTACTGATTTAACACAAATTTACAATCTTCTACAACTGGAATATAAATCCATTGAAGGCAATGAATGTCTTATTTTCTCTATCTATAATGCAATGGTACCTAACAATACCAAGCATACAGTAGGTTCTTACAGTGGGTTCTCAGAGTTCTCACTATTGATGATCTATAGCAGTAACGATACTAGAGCAAGTTAAGCTTTTCACACGTTTAATTATTTTTGTTGTTGTTCTAACAAACTTAGGAAGTAGAAACAATACTCCTCATTTTTCAAATAAAGAAACTGAGGTAGAATCAAGTAATTTGCCTAAACTCTAGGCTAGGAGAGCTAGGAGACGGCAGAGCCAGGACTTGACAGAATAATCTATGCTCTTAATAATTTCACTGTAATGTTTCCAATCAGAACTCCCATAAATATCATTTAAGATTTTGTAAATGACTCATACTTGCATAAAGTTACAAGTTCCTTGAATCTGAGTCATCAGATCCTGCAGTTTTTCTTTCCTCAATACTGGATCCTTCGGAAGGGTAGAGGAAGAACCTACAGGCTGATGCATAGGCTTAGGCACCTACAAAATAAACCCATAATGTTTAACAGTGAAATTCAAATTCTAATCTAGGAAACAGCTAAGACCCTAATCTAGGAAACAGCTAATCTACGAAACAGCTTATCACTACATCTTAAAGGAAAAGACAAAACAGCAATGTTCATTTAACACAGGTAAAGAATTTCCTCATAAATACCTTTTCTAAATAAGCAAACTTTAAACAGATTTTTCCCCTTCACAATTTTCATGGAACTCTTTCTAAAATACGGAATATTGTTTTTAAAGAAAAGATCCAGCAGAACTTCCTTGTTAAGAGTGTTTCCACTATGGACATGAGTTACCAAATGTCCTCTAGGATAAGATGTCACTGACTATGAGACATACCAATGATTTTTTTTCCACAGGGCAAAAATTACTATCACCTTAAATATCCCATTTTTAAGATGTATCTGATTTCACAAATCAAGATGTAAATACATATTTAAGTATATACACACATACCCTAAAATTGAGGGGGATACACTATATTTTGTTATAAAGTAAGCACACTCTCGGGGGCTATTTATGTTTACAAGGTGGTTAGTCTTCATCCTAAATTGTTTAAAATTGCGCACATCCTGAATTAGGCCAATTTACGGTTACTTTTTAAAGCTGTCAGCATGCCAGTCTCCATTAGCTCCTCTTCTCCACCTTCTAATTCACAAAGAAGGTACACAGCTAAGTTTGTCAAAGGTACCAGATAAAATAAGAGTTAAGAGACTGTAAGTGAATTCATATGGGACTCTTTTAGAAGGAAAGTATGAACATTAATGAGTAATCTCACATTTAGTCTTTTGGTTTTGAATTCTATTCTGCATTTGACTGTACTTAGTGTTCTAGACAGCTCAAATTCCAAGACAGAAAAATACTACATTACACAAAGAAGTATCCTCTGAATCACTGAAAAAACACTACAATTTCAATATAATGCTATCTGTGCTAGGAAAGCAAATTAAATATGAGTTTTGACCTTTTGAAATATGCAACCCTGATTTTAAATGCAATTCAACAAATAGCATGATAATATTCTGTTATGATAAAGGTTCTGCATTGCTATACCTAGTGGAATTTTAAACCAGGTTTTTAAAAGTAGCTTTATTGAGATATTAAATTGGCTTTTTAAATGCTTTTCAAAAATAGTTATGTTACAGTTACTGTTGTTTGATATTTGGTTAATAAAGTTGCCAATCTTCTATAGGGTAAGGAAGAAGCTAAAATTAATATTAGCAACTTGAAGAGAAAAAGGAATGAAAAAGCAGCCAAATAACTCTAAAATTCTGTTCCCATATACCAGAATTAAGCCAAGGGTAATTTACTTATAAAATGCAAAGTTTTGCTTTCCCCAAGCAAAATGCTTTTCACATTACTATATTAGAGGGTCAACAGTTTATCAGAAAGCCTTTAGCTAAAATGGCACAAAAGTGCAAGAAAGACTACTCCATAGAGATAGAGAACACCGGAAGCAGAAGTTCATATACCTCAGCAAATGGGGCGGTAACAAGTTTGCATTATACATAGTGGTAAATAACTAATTTATAATTTAATAAAAAGCAACACTAACATAGCATTGTACCCAAGAATTATTCAATATAAGTGTTACTACCTGAAATAGGTTATTTATCCTTAAAAGAATGTGGCCTTATATTTTAACTAATCTTGTACTCTAAAATCTAGCTACAAAATATTTAATGCCAACAGTTTTCCTATCTTTGGAAAAATTCTCATTCTGAAATGGAAATAGAGAACTAATTCAAATCCCTTCCCCCAATACTGAAATATCTGCAACCCTAAACTTTCTTCATGAAGATCTGGGCTAAATTGAGTGACCATAAATGAGTAGAAGAGAAGCAAGAGAATGTAGAAAATTTTAACTTGTCAGAAAAAGTTATTCATATAGCAGGTAGATGACAACAAATGAAATACAGTATCTCACATCCTGTGACAAGCATTTACATTACTCACTTGTTCACATAATGATCTTGTCTAAACTATCCACTATGTTGATATCATATTATGTTGTTAAAATTTTGGCATTAAAACATTTTATAACTGTAGAAATTTCATCTCAGATTAGGCTCAAAGACAGACTAGATTAACTCTCAGTTTTCGAAGGAAAACAAATCTACCCACTAAAGAGGGTGAAATACTTTATACATAAACTTACATGGGTTTTGTTGTTTTTTTAAAGAGAACTAAAAAGATACTACCCACAACACCTTATTTATGCCTACAGTGACAGAAGCAGAATGATTCAGATCAACTCACATCTTTGGGTTCTGTATTAAACTTCCTGGGCAGGAGCTGGTCATTTGGTATGAGGCTTGCTGTAGCTACTCCCCAGGACTTCGGAGCAATCTGTGACTGTGTTGTTAAAGAGTGTTTTCGACTCTCAACATTGTTTTCCCAGGATTTTGGAGTCTCTGGCTGTTTTGAATCCTGTTCTTCACACATGGGAGTGGTCCATGACTTGGTGGTGTTCTGTTCACTCTGCACAGAAGGTGTCCAAGACTTTGGAGTTTGCTTCTTTGGATCTAGTTCTTTCTGCAGCTGAACCGGCCATGGCTTTGGTGTCTCCTGCTTCTTTTGTTCCTCTTGAACATATCCTGCTTTGGATTTAGGAGTTTCCTGCTTCCACTGGCTAGGAGATGGCTTAGATTTGGAGATCTCCTGCTTCTTCTGCTCTTCTGGTACACTAGACCTGAGTTTTGGGGTATCTTGTTTTCTCTGTTCTAAGGAAACTGCAGGCTTGGATACCTCCTGGTGCTTACCAGGAGACTCCCAGGACTTGAAGGATTCCTGTTTTTTTTCCTGACTATCTGGTTCAGTAAGCATATCCCAACGTTTGGGGAGATTTGGTTTTCTAGCATAATCTGCTTCCCAAGGTTGCTCTTCGCCTTGTTTGTTTGAATAATCTACTTCTGTCATATAGCGTCTGTTAAGAAACTAGACAGAGAAACAATGCAATTAAGTCACAAAATTCATAGAAGACCTTGAAGGGAATATTCAACTCTATTAGTATTGCTATGTTCATTGATCTAAGCTGTTGTGCTAATATGAAATTTCTGTGCTTATTTTACTTGAAAAGACTTTCCTACTTCTCTGTCCATTCCTTTTTCCTCAATTAACAGAAATACAGACTTCAATACTTTAAAAGTAGCAATTTCTGTTTGACTTGCCTAAGACTAACAAGGTTTGCTTGATTCGGACTCTTTACCAATGAATGTTGTTCCACATTTGCCAGCCTTAGGACCCCTCTCCCCAGTTGACTCCCTCAAACATTAAAAGGCAGAGGATAGTTCAACTTCAAAGTTAAAATGTGTAACCTTAAGCCTTACCTTTCCTAAGTTACCAGTGTTTTATTTCCCTTATACATCAATTATACTGTTTTTGAATATCCCGTTCTTTTCAGCTTCCCATGAATTTCAATGTCACTTCAGAAAGAGAACAAATGCCTTTTCTGCTACCAATGTGAGTAAATTCTGGAGAGAGTAAAGTCCTGTGCATCTGAAAGTTCCTCTAACACAGGAGGCAAAAATAGGTAACACTTGGGCAGTTAGTGTGCCAGGCGAAATCTAAATAATTTCAAAATTAGATCAACCTCTTTAAATCTCACAATAATCCCATTAAGTAGTCATTATCATTATCCTATTTTACGTATGAGGATAACAGACACAGCTGGACCAGGTTTCTTGCCCAAAGTCCCTAAGCTAGTAAACTGCAGAACCAGGGTTCAAGCTCCAGAGCCTTAGTTTCTAACCACAACTTATACAAAAGGCTGAAAAATCAACATGAGCAAATTGTCTTTCAGTATCTTACCTCTTGTGGTTGTATCTCTGGCTGTGCAAATTCCATTAGAGACTCTGGGATGATAAAACAAATTCAAATAAATACTAGGTGAACTCTTAAGTTTTTAGACAGATGACAACTATAATTCATTCTAGCAATATATTCCAGAAGCCTCATAACAGAAAAAGGGTAATACAATCAAGTATATTGATGGCAAAAAGAATTCTATTGCTTGTTAGTCCAAAGTATGTGGTCTGAGGCTAGTTCAAACTAGTAGCTCTTCTTACGTAAGACAAAAGTCAAGTTTCAGTTAAAAACTGATTTCTGGCCAGGCGCGGTGGCTCAAGCCTGTAATCCCAGCACTTTGGGAGGCCGAGGCGGGTGGATCACGAGGTCAAGAGATAGAGGCCAACCTGGTCAACATGGTGAAACCCCGTCTCTACTAAAAAATACAAAAAATTAGCTGGGCATGGTGGTGCGTGCCTGTAATCCCAGCTACTCAGGAGGCTGAGGCAGAAGAATTGCCTGAACCCAGGAGGTGGAGGTTGCGGTGAGCCGAGATCGCACCATTGCACTCCAGCCTGGGTAACATGAGTGAAACTCTGTCTCAAAAAAAAAAAAAAAAACTGATTTCTGATTAAAAATAAGACTTATTTCCTCTTACCCTAAAACACAGCTTTTTTCAAATTAGCATTATAGCTCATGTCCCATGGGGTAAAAATTGGTCATCTCAGCTTGAAACAGAGCCCTGAAAAACCTCTTACAAGCCAGTTTAAGGTTAGAAGGAGATAACAGAGTGGAGATACTGAAGCACTGGAATTAGTATTAAAAACTAAGAGGAAATAAACATGGAAAATGGTTTGACTCTTGCTTATGGCTACCAGAACCGTGCCTGGACTATACCTCCTTAGAAGAGATATTTAGGGCCGGGCGCGGTGGCTCAAGCCTGTAATCCCAGCACTTTGGGAGGCCGAGGTGGGTGGATCACGAGGTCAAGAGATCGAAACCATCCTGGTCAACATGGTGAAACCCCGTCTCTACTAAAAGTACAAAAAAAAAAAAATTAGCTGGGCATGGTGGCGAGTGCCTGTAATCCCAGCTACTGAGGAGGCTGAGGCAGGAGAATTGCCTGAACCCAGGAGGCGGAGGTTGCGGTGAGCCGAGATTGCACCATTGCACTCCAGCCTGGGTAACAAGAGTGAAACTCCATCTCAAAAAAAAGAACAGATATTTAATAAATCCAGCTTCAGCAAACAAAAGCAAAAGTGCCATCTGCTCAAGATATTTTTTCCCCAGGCAAACGGTAATCTAAAAAATATATTTTCTTTACTGACTTTAGCACTTTCCCCAAATCGATATTTCAAATTAGGTTAATTATATCCTCATTCTGCTACAGTATTGGATTCTACTATATCTTCCATTGTAAACAATTTTAAACAGAATTATCCTACTAGTAGTTTAACAGAGAAGTTTATTCAAATTCCATAAATGCCCTCCTCTTAAGCAATGTATTCTTTTGGGACACAGTATAAACTAATATTTCTAATAAGGTTCACTCTATAAATCATGGTGATAAAGCCTAGAGATGTTCTATAAACCTAGGTTTATCCTGCAGTAAGTAAAGATTTCCATGTATGCAGAACCTAACCAATTAAAATAAGGCAATCACTGCACAATATGTGACTCATTTGGGGTATTAAAAAACGCAACCACTACAAGGATTGTCAGAGGTCACAACAAACCTGGCTCTTTGACAGATTCAGCCTTCGATAATTGTGGTTTTTTTTCGGACTGTGTTAGCATTTCTTCCTCCAGTGGTACTTCTTTTTCCTTGGCATTTTTAGGAACTGGGATACTTTCAAAATAGCCTGAGTTCAGCAATTTAGACAGTAGATCTTTCATGTGTTTGTCTAAGAAAGAGTAATTAAGACTTAGTTATCACATGACCTCACCGAAAATTACTGGGAATAGAAATCCTAATTTTATTCTAGATGTAGTACATCATTACAATAGTTTACATTGATGTACATATAGTTTACAACAGTTCACATTGTCATGGTACTGACTGGAGAACTTGTTAGTGCCATGAAGAGTAAATATGCAGTCCATCTTTGTGCTGAATCAATATGATTTTAACAAGATCAGAATCTCAAAAGTTCAGCAAGTCACTTAAGTTTCTCTGGACCTCCATTTCTACCATTTGAAAAATGACTAAAAATCAGATATCCTCATCAAATATGTCACAAAAGCACATATCTATTCCCCGAGATGAAAAATAAGTCATTTTTCCTATCTGCTCCCAAGACATCACAACTAGCAACCACTCTATCTTCCCCAAGTAATTAAGGCTTTAGAGGAGTAAAAGTCAGTTCCTCAAAATCTACCTATTAGATAGGGTTAAAAAAAATACTATATTGGACAATCTCTATTAGATTACTAATATTATTAATCTATCAGAAAACCCTATCTTGTACAAACTCTGAAATATTTTTAAACTACAAAATTCCATCATGAAGATTTTACTCGAGTTATGCTGTTTGTCATTCCTACCACCTGACCATTTCATATTCAAGAAAAACCTTAAAATGATGCTAAGGTCACTATACTACAAATAGGTCTAAAGTTATTTTATTTTAAATATCCATTATAAACATAATCCCAAGCTAAGTAGAGCTCTGTACTTCATTTGAGTCTTACTATTCCTTTCATAGGAGTACTATGACATAAATTTTTTTTTTTTTTAAATATCAGCTTTCAGATATAATTTACAGGCACAATTCACCTACTTTAACTGTACAGTTTTAACAGATATTTAGTTGTGTTACCACCAGAACCATGATGTAGGCATTTTCATTAACCCAAAAAGTTCTTACTACCCCTTTTGCAATTAATCTCCTCCCCTGACCCCTCGAAAAACCATTCCATAATGCCTTTTCTAGAATTTCATATAAATGAAATCATACAATATGTACTCATTTTATGTCTGGCTTCTTTCACTCAGCATAATTATTTTGAGATTCATCCATGTTGTTACATGTATCAATAGTTCTGTCTCTTTTTTATTGGTGAATAGATTCCACTGTATGGGTATACTACATTTTATCAGTTTATCAGCTGAATAAAGCTTGTATGAGCATTTGTGTACAAGTACTTATATGAACACGTCTTCATTTATCTTAGGTACTAGAAGACCGATTGCTTAGCGTTAATAAGTATATGCTTCATTTTATTAACATACTGCCAAACTATTTTCTAAACTCATTTTGCATTCTAACCAAGAAATACATTTTTAATTTTGATTTAAGATTGAACAAACTTAGAAATCTTAAGATAGTTATAGATACTTGGATTTTTTTTAAAAAGGAAGCAATCACTGATAACAAAAATATTTACTACCATTTAATGAGTCTTCATTATTCTAAGCTAGTACACAAAGCTATGTGCTTTATGTCCAGTCATCTGTATTTGGTCATTGGCCAAAGTCTATTTAGGAAGCCAAAAGAACTCTCTTTCCATAGACCACTTCCAGATCAATAGACAACAATGTTTCAATAGACTATAAAATCATTCATATATTCTTAGGCTGATGTGGTAGATAAGCCTTAATGTTAACAATGTATAAATTTAAAACTCTTAAATAGAGCAGGTACTACCACGCAGAATAGAAAACGGAACCCCAAAATGATCAAGCTAGTGTTGAAGCCAGCACTTAGCTCTCTTTCCAAATCATATTGACTTGCCACTTCAAAACTCTCCCTGAATTCCATTTTAGTGAATAGGGTTATACAATAGCTGCTTTTAACAGAACTAAACAAAGGGATCATTCTCCCAATGAATATAATATTGTCAGACATGTAAGTTCTGATGGACTGACACAGTTTAGACCCTCAATATCATACTAAACTTCTAGACATAAAGTTTAGTATTTACTGCATAAGTCCAGAGTAGAGAAAACTCACATGTCGTTCCTACCACTGCTTTCTCACTACCTTCCAAAAGGTCCCAAAAGTACAAGGATGACTGCTCCATCTGGTCTTCAACACTGACAAGGAAAAGCAGCAGCAGAACAAAGTGGCTTTAGAAGTACATATATATGGAGCAGTACAATTTATGCAATATAACCCATTAACAGACAAGACATTCAAATGTTAATTTTGTCTTTTTGCTCTTGGGAAATAAAAAATTGAAATGTATACAAGGTGACTAAATGCCTGTTGCAGGATTTCAAATGTAAGACTTTTTCCTTAAAATAACTAAAATATGGATTTTGCCAAATAAAACTATTAAAGAATAGACCAAGAAGTATTTAAAGCTGCCAATGCAGTATCATTAGTTATTAGGTGTATTCCCTAAATAAAAGAACAGTGAAATGGAAACATTAAGAGCCGCATTTGACTTTAAAGAAAGCAGCTTATTTATTAGCAAATTACATTTTGCTCACATTTCATATATTAAAGTGAAGCTACATTCCCTGAACCCACAAAAGTGAAGGAAGCAATGTATAGATAATGATGATGGAGTAGACGATCAGCATGAGAATTAAAAAATATATGGCTATATATAGGTAATTAAGATTTCTATTAGGCTTCTTTCTGCTTAGTGACCGATTTCTAGTAACCATTGAAATGACTCTACTTTAGCATGGTTGATAAATATGAAGCTGGAACAGCCTGCATCTAACAAAGGAAGATCACAGCATCTGTCCCCTAGCTGATTTACTCCATCAAAACAGGAAGAGCAATGGATCACTGTGAGGGAAAAAAATCAGACAGCCCCAATTTGCAGGTTTTGTATTTTAAACTATTAAATGTATTTCTCAGTAGTTATTCACAGCATAATAAGAACACCAAATAATTTTTACTTTGAAACTTTAACGATACTGGCCAAGTTAAATCTTATTTACCTTTACTTAAGTATAGCAGGAGTAAGAAGGCTACTCTGAGAAAATTATTTTAAAAGTTTTAGAAATAGATATAATATTATATTGGTACAGGATTAAAATTTGATGCTCAAGACATCATTCTTAAAAAAATCAGTATTACAATAAAGAAGCATGTTAATGAGACCATTCAAATTTACTTTCCTTACAGACAATCCGTCAACCCTGTCAGAATCTGGGCCAGCCAACGTTTCCCATACTGAATCAAATTATTGCTTTCTTAATTTCTCTCTCTCTCTCCCCCCAGCCCACTAACACACACACACACACTCTCTCTCTCTCTCTCTCCCCCTCTCTCTCTCTCATACACACATACACAAATACACACCCCTAAAAAGCTAAAGTGTCAAGTGTTCCATTTCAGGAAAGTCTTTTCATTAGCTTACCTCAGACTTTCATTTCTTTCAGGGCAGGTCAGTTTTGAAAACTTAATGAGGTAGTCAAGTTCTTTTGAAGGCAAATACACTGCACCATTCAAACCCCCTTTGAAGTCTTTTTGTACATGTTCCTGTGTCAAGTTCTGTAATACATACTGAACTTGAAGTATAGTTCGAAGCTTTTTCTTCTCAGCCTCAAGTTTTAACATGTGCTCCCTTCTCTGGGCCTTCTTCTGCGCTTTTAGTAGCTGTTAAAACAAATGGCTAATTAAGGTTAACAATTCTCTACCATCCCATATAAGCAATAAATGTTCTACAAAGTCTAAACCCAAAAGTGCTGAGATGAGATGACAAATTACATGACTGTCACACTACCAGTTTAATCTGTCTCCTTTTTGAGCTAAATAAGTCACTGAGTAATAAACTGGTTTGTTGCAGGTAACCAGGGCCAAGGGTGTCCAATATCTGACTCTCAAATCCAGAGTGTCTAGTACCTCTAAGATCACCATGATGAAAGTGAAGTCCGAATCATTCATATCCATATTCATTTCAATATTTTACTCTTCCACATTTATATATATCAATTCTTTCTGGGCCTTTTAGGGTTTTTTTTTAATCTCAAATTCCAAGGGAAAAAATATTCAAACTAAAATGGTCAGTTTTCAATCAACCAAAGAAAGCATAAGGAATCGAAAAGCTAACAGACATAAAATGTCTTCCAAATGTAATGCCAAAAACCAGCCAGAGCAAACGTGTTACTTTTTTTAAGAAGTAAAATTAAGCATTTTTTAAATAATAATTTGCTCCGTCAGTCTGGATGGAGCTATAACCTCCAATATTTAGCTGATTGTAGATACAGAAAATTAATGGAACTTAGGTTTTTCTTCAGGCCTTGCACAGTGGTGCACACCTATAATTTCAGTCCTTCGGGAGTCCAAAGAGGGTGGATCACCTGAACCCAGGAATTGAAAAGCAGCCTGGGCAACATGGCAAAACCCTCTCTCTACAAAAATTAGCTGGGCATGGTGTGTGTGTGTCTATAGTTCCAGCTACTCAGGAGGCTGTGGGAGACAGATCGCTTGGTCCTGGGAGGTCAAGCCTGCAGTGAGTGGTGAGAGTACCACTACACTCCAGCCTGGGCAACAGAGTGAGATCCTGTCTCAAAAAAAAAAGTTTTCCCTCCAAAAATTTGTGTATGCAGATTGAACAACCTTGGATCTACTCTAAAGCTCAGAACTATAATACCTTAAAAGTCTGACATAATATTCAAGAGTCCCAGAAGTGGCTTGCCATTTAACTCAAAAGTATTATCTTTCCATGAAGAAACCTAAAAGATCTTCCCCCCCCATAGACTTTCTGATTGTAACATTTCCATCATATTGGCTATTTCGTAAGGTGTGAAGATTAGAATACAAAAATAAACAATAAGATTTTTTCCTACCGATGGGTCAAAGTACTTTGATATAGCATCAATATTTTAAATTATATAACAGAGATGTTCATAAATCCTAACAGATTAAAATTAGGGGAGAAAACCTCAGGAAAAACATTCACTGTATCATAATTAAACCCTTTCAAGGGGATGTGGAAGGAACATAGTAAATTTGATTTGTGCTACTGCTGGGAACAGAAAGATAATGAGTAAGGATAAAATGTTGAGAATGAGAAATAGACTGGTTGAAGGTTGCCATGGGCAAGCACATTTTCTCTGATGGGAAAGGCTCAGTAAGGCTTTTTCCAAGAACTCTGTATAGACTGTATCAATAACACCAAAACTATAGGATTCTTTGATCCTGCTTGAGAGAAGAAAAGAGGATGGAGGTGGCACTCCTAGCTCTCCAAGACACTGGGTTTCTCTTGGTCAGAGTTTCATCATGGTATAGGGAAAAGCAACTGATTCACAAGGCATCTTGAGACAATTATATCACATGATTATCACAGATTTATCTTCACCTGGTCTTCCAAGGTTGGATTGGGTGGTCTTATGGGCTCATGCCACCTTGAACTTCCCCTATCAAAGCAATTTTGGGTTTCTTGTTTGTTTTTGAGACACAGTGCCATTATGCCATCCAGGCTGGGGTGCAGTGGCACAATCAAGGTTCACGCAGATTCAACCTTCTGTACGCAAGCAATCGTCCCACCTCAGCCTCCTGAATAGCTGGAACCACAAGTACATGCCACCATGCCTAACTATTTTTTTTTATTTTTTATTTTTATAGAGATCAAGTCTCCCTATGTTGCCCAGGCTGGTCTCAAACTCCTGAACTCAAGTCATCCCCCTCCCAAAGGGCTAGGGTTATAGATGTAAGCCACCATGCCTAGCTATTTTTTCTGTATCTGCATCCATGACGACAGGGACTACATCTACTGTTCACCAATATTCACTAATACTCAGCACAGAGCCTGACATATAACAGGGCCTCAAATTTTTGTTAAATAAAATTAAGTGTCAAGAAAGTCCCCCAGATCATGATCAGATGTCATGAAAAGCCATGGAATACAGCCAATTTCTCCTTTAGATGGAAATTAGGAAGGTGGGTTACATTGTTCTCTTTTTCCAGCTGAGGACCAGTTTGGAAAGGAAAATCTAAGTAGTAAAGCATTCACAATCAATAGTACTCAATGATAGAATTGGTTTTCTTAAGACTCAGAATGATGAATCCCTACCAGGAGACAGAGCTCATCTCATGAAGACAAAGCAGAATGTGACAAGGTTGAAAAGAAAGACTTCCGCCGGGCGCGGTGGCTCAAGCCTGTAATCCCAGCACTTTGGGAGGCTGAGGTGGGTGGATCATGAGGTCAAGAGATCGAGACCATCCTGGTCAACATGGTGAAACCCCGTCTCTACTAAAAATACAAAACATTAGCTGTGCATGGTGGCGCGTGCCTGTAATCCCAGCTACTCAGGAGGTTGAGGCAGGAGAATTGCCTGAACCCAGGAGGCGGAGGTTGCGGTGAGCCGAGATCGCGCCATTGCACTCCAGCCTGGGTAACAAGAGTGAAGCTCCGTCTCAAAAAAAAAAAAAAAAAAAAAAAAAAAAAGACTTCCAACTTTAATTTGAAGGGAAAAAAAGAAAATGTTCCACAAACTACAAAACTGGTTATGATAGGACATTTTTGACAAAATAAAAATTTTAAAGAGGAACTTACAAAAAATTTCCAGGAAAAAGAAAGAAAAAAACTCAAAGGTACTGCCAAGCACCTTTTAGGGTCTTGATTCAGTCAGGCAACCTCCAAAGTACTTTATCATGTAACCTAAAATGAAAGTAAATCTCAAACACAGGCAAGAAAAATTAGTTTCATGGATATTAACAAAATTTGGTGAGTTGGGAGCTACCTCTAGACTACAGCATCACAGAGGAAAAAAATAGAAAAGACACTATATTCATGGTATAGAGAAAAAGTATCTAGGGCCATATCTTGGCTCTACCACTTACTGGACACATGACTTTGAATTAGTTCCTTTTACTTAAACGTAAAACCCGAAACTATAAATACCCTAGAAGATAACCTATGAAATACCATTTTGAATATAAGAACTGGCTAAGATTTCAAATTTCAAAACAAATATGCCAAAAGTAATCACAACAAATGCAAAAACTGACCAGTTAGACTAATTGAACTTAAGACCTTCTATATAGCAAAAGAAACCATTAACAGAGTAAAGAGACAACCTACAGAATGGGAGAAAGCTTTTGCAAACTGCATCTGACAAAAAAACTAATATCCAGTATCTATAAGGAACTTAAATAAATTTACAAGAAAAATAAACATTAAAAAATGGGCAAAGGACATGAATGGACACTTTTCAAAAGACATATACGGGGCCAAAAAGCAGATGAAAAAAAACTCAACATCATTGATCATTAGAGAAATGCAAATGAAGATCACAATGAGATGCCATCTCACACCAGTCAGAATGGGTGTCACTAAAAAATAATAAAATGACAGATGCTGGCAAGGTTGCAGAGAAAAGGAATGCTTAAACACTGTTGATGAGAGTGTAAATTAATCCAACAATTGTGGAAAGCAGTGTGGTGATTCTTCAAAGAGCTAAAACCAGAACTACCATTTGACCCAGCAATCCCACTACTAGATATATATCCAAAGGAATATAAATCATTCTATCATAAAGACACATGTATGTGTATGTTCATTACAGCATTATTCACAATAGCAAAGACATGGAATCAATCTAAATGCCCATCAATGACAGACTAGATAAAGAAAATGTGGTACATATACACCATAGAATGCCATGCAGCCGGCCAGGCGCGGTGGCTCAAGCCTGTAATCCCAGCACTTTGGGAGGCCGAGGCGGGTGGATCACGAGGTCAAGAGATCGAGACCATCTTGGTCAACACGGTGAAACCCCGTCTCTACTGAAGCTACAAAAAATTAGCTGGGCATGGTGGTGCGTGCCTGTAATCCCAGCTGCTCAGGAGGCTGAGGCAGGAGAATTGCCTGAACCCAGGAGGCGGAGGTTGCGGTGAGCCGAGATTGCGCCATTGCACTCCAGCCTGGGTAACAAGAGCGAAACTCCGTCTCAAAAAAAAAAAAAAAAGAAAAAAAAGAAAAAACAACTATTGGGCCCCAGGCTTAGTATCTGGGTGACAAAATAATCTATACAACAAATCCCCATGACATGAGTTTACCTATATAGCAAACCCGCATACATATACTCCTAAACCTAAAAGTTTTCTTAAGAAAGAATAAGTTACTTTTGCTCTGAGTCTCAGATTCCTGATCCGTAAAATGGGACTATTTATAGCAACTTCTCAGACTATTGTAAAAACCAAGTGGAACTGCATAGGTGATTGGCAAAAGGTAGGCATTTTTCTAACTTTTTAAATCTAAAAATAAGAAAAGAATACCATGTATTAGAAAAATATAAACCTGAATGAAAAACTAAATTGTTACTGGGTAACTCTGAGTAAAGACAAAAACAGAAAATTTTAAACATTATAAAAGTACACTTCTAATCGTTCTTGTAATCCTTCTTAGCCAAGAATTAAGATGGTTAAACGTCTCCAGCCTAGAAAAATTTTTCTGATACCAGAGGAATGGAGGACAGAATTCTAGTTAACTATAAAGAAAACAGGCCAGAGCGATTGCTCACACCTGTAATCCCAGTACTTTGGAAGGTCAAGGCAGGAAGATCCCTTCAGCCCAGGATTATAAGCCAGCAGTGAACTATGATCACACCACTGCACTCGAGGCTGGGTCAGAGACCAAGACCTTGTCTCTGAAAATAATTTTTAAAATGTTTTAAAAATTAAAATATCCAAAAAATAGAAGAGATTATCTTATGAGGCATGCTCTCCACCCTAGGAATGAATTTATTTAAAAATGTCCTCAATTGCTGAAACATGACCTTTAAAGGACCTTCTAATGCTAAGATCCTGAAAAAGTAAAGAATACTTCATTAAAAAGTATTTAAAATTTCTTATTAATTACTGATTAAATTTATCAGAGATAAAGTTTGGACTGCCAACATAGAGAACCTAACAAGTAGTAAGGCCAGATTTAACTCTATTTAACATATGTCATTAATTTTCCTGTTAATAATTTTCATGCTTTCAAAAAGACTACCGATTCTGTTGTCTCATATGTTAAATAATGTGAAAGAAGCCTATCTTATACAAATTTACAAGCCTATATTCTAAAATACCTTTAATAAATATACTTTTTCAAAAGTTTTGATTCCCTTTCTCAATGATTTAATTCTATAATTAAATAACATACATTAGATAACTAATGTTTTATTCACAATGTCTCATATTCATATGCCATTTGTGTTCCCCCTTGAGACTATGGAAATACGAAAAAACTAGTTCTCCAACAGTTACCCTCAACCCTCCATCGCAATAAAATATCAGCAGAAATTAGATGAATGGTAATCAAACACCGTTATTAGACACTGACACACGGACATTTTCTCCAAGGTCAGTGGTTAAAACTGGTTTCAGGAAAAAGCAAAGAAAACATACTCACATCTAGGCTCAACCCAGAAAAGGTTTTCTGAAGCTCCTTGGCAAATTCCAAATTATGTAGCACTTCTTCATATTTTTCTACTGCTTCCTACCAAATAGGATAAGAAAACATCAATTTTCTGACTGTTTAAATACAAAATATGTGAAAATAAGTGTTTCTTAAATACAGTAGAAGAGATTTAAGACCTTACAGCTATTTACTATACATACACAAGAAAGCACTTGTCTAAAGAAAAAGGAGAAAGTATTAATACAAGTTACATTAAGTTGTATTTAAAAATTCAATTCTAATGCCAGAAATTCAATTTTGTATTAGAAATCTGAGTCCTAATTTTATCCTATCTATAAAGTCTAAGATCAGAGAAGCCTGTTGGTTTTAATAGCACTGAGCCAATAGGATTTCTCTGTTAATAGTCATTCACTACCCAAACGTATTACACAGTAGCATGGTATTGAACAGATGAACAGGCAACTTCAAGATATTTATAATATGGTGGAAAAGACTTAGAATAATTACCTATAACAGACAAAAATAAATAAGTATTCTAACAAACAATATGCAACGTCCTACAGGAAATTTAAAGGAGCAAATTTTTTTTTTTTTTTTTAATTTCCCAGATGAACAAAATTGACAGAAAAGAGGGGAGCATTTCATGGGACTTTAACTCAAATCTCTACGGAAAAGAGAAAGGACCAATCTGAAACAGAAGATGGAGAACCTGCACTACCAGATAAATACATATTATAAAGCCTCAGCAATTAAAATAGTAAAGTATTCCACTCCAAGGTATCTGCCCAAAAGAAATGAAAACATGTCCACATAAAGACTTGTGTGCAAATGCATACAGCAGCATAATGGCCTAAAACGAAAACAATCCAAATATCCAGCAACTGGTAAGTGGATAAACAAAATGTGGTACACCCATGCAATGAAATATTAGCCAGCAATAGAAACCAAAGAAATACTGATAAATACTATAACAGGGATAAACCTAAAAATTATTATGCTAAGTAAATAAGCCAGATCCAGAAGACCATTTTATGTGAAATGTAAGAAAAGACAAATTTATAATGATAGAAAGTAAATCAGGGGACAAAAAAGAGGATTATAGGAATACTGTAAAATGAGATTGAGCTAACAGTTTGGTAACTCTACAAATTTACCATAAACACTGAAATGTAAAGTTAGAGTGGGTTTACTTTGTGTTAAGTACATTTTTTTAATAATGTTGAAAAAAATAGGCTGATATTATATTTATAAAGGTATGGAACAATAAGAACTCCTATGTAATACCAGTATTACTATAAATTGGTACAATAATTTTGGAAAACAGTTCAGCATTTTTAACTATGAAGTTAATCCTGAGCACACCCAATAGTCTAATAAGAGACATATACCATGGGAAAAAAAAAAATCTTACTCCGGTTTGTCAATAACACCTATAAGATTCCTCAAAGTAAAATTCTTCATAGTGACCAAAAAAAAAAAAAAAAAAATCCCTCAAGCATCCATTTATTCACAGACTGAAACTAAATGAGAGAACCAAATTAAATACAGACACTTGCATTGATACAAAAATACTAAATATAATGAGTGAAAAATACAACCGCAGAATATATAGCATGATATGATACCGCTTATTATAAGGTACAAAAAAGCAACTCTGACAGATTTAAGGGCAGTGAAAAAAAAAATGCTTTTAAAAGCAAGGGAAAAGTTCAGGGTCATGGTTACAGGAAAGAGAAAGTACCACACCAGAAAGGAGTCTTAACACTGTTGGAAACATACTGTTTGAGAGTGGGTTCTGGTGCTTGCTTTATTATGTGTTATAACTTATATGGAATATATTGTTTCAGCCACGTATTTTTTTTTTTTTGAGACGGAGTTTCGCTCTTGTTACCCAGGCTGGAGTGCAATGGCACGATCTCGGCTCACCACAACCTCCGCCTCCTGGGTTCAAGCAATTCTCCTGCCTCAGCCTCCTGAGTAGCTGGGATTACAAGCACACGCCACCATGCCCAGCTGAATTTTTGTATTTTTAGTAGAGACGGGGTTTCACCATGTTGACCAGGATGGTCTCGATCTCTTGACCTCGTGATCCACCCGCCTCGGCCTCCCAAAGTGCTGGGATTACAGGCTTGAGCCACCGCGCCCGGCTCAGCCACATTATTTTATAATAAAAAGGTTTAGAGATTTTCCTGCTACAGAAACAAGAATGAGTAGATAACATTACCAGGATACACAGTCCTCAGAGGAATGTAAAACTATAAAGAAATACTCCTCCGTATCCACTCCTGAATGGTATTAACTTTGACTCAAGAAAAGCAGCATCAGCTGGGAACTACCTCAACTTTCCATCACCTAATGTAGACCTATCCTTTCATTCTTCCATTTTTACTAAGTGAAGAAGGTATCCCCTTCTACCTGTGCCCTAGATCCTACTGAATTCTGCCTTCATATAAAACTTAAAGATTCTCTCTTTAATGTCTTCTAGCAGAGAGAGCTGCTCCCTCTCTATTGATGCTGAAATCAGCATTTTAAAAGGTAAAGTTATCCCCAATCTAAATAAGAAAAATTAAAAGTTCTTCTGTGACAACTACTTCCCTCCAGCCTTAGACAAATTTCAAGTGTTTTCAGTTTCCAGCTCTTTAGACCTCATCAACCTGAACTCCATTTCTGCCATTCCACCAGAACTGTTTTAGCTGAAGTTAACAACTGTCAATGCCATCCTTCAAATCTATGGATCTTTTACAGCTCTCATTTTGTTGACTTACTAGCAGCCTTCAAAATAAAGGCACACTCCTGCTCTACAAACATTCTTGTTTTTCCTAACACTAAACTTCCATTTCTCCAGCTGCTAATTTACTAGCAAATTTTCCATTAACTACTCTCACCTGTTTTTAGCACCTGTAAAATAGGAGTAATAGAATCTACCTAACAGATACTGTATAATTTAAATGACTGCATATGTATAAAGCACTCAGAATGATGACTGACCCTAATAAGCACTCTGTATTTTTAGCCATTATTGTTCAAACATTAAATGTCAGAATTCCTCAGGATTCTGTCCTAGGTTTCTCTACTCTGTTTTCTATACTCTCACCCAAGACAGTCTTATCTTCTCTAAAGATTTCAAGTAGCAGTCATACAGGTGATGTTTCTAACAGCTAAACTTCACACTCGACCCATTTACCTGCACACCTGGTACCAGACATTGATGTCTCACAGGCACAATAAAATCAAGAGTACAAAATTGAGTCTTTATCCTACTCCACCCTCCCAAAACCTCCTGCCCCCCATGCTCCCAAGTTTAATAAATGGTTTTGCCATCCATCCAGTGTTCAAGCAAGAAACCTGAAACCACTGTCAGCTCTACCCTCTACTCCTACATCCAGTTACCAAGCCATGCTGATTTTACCTCTCAAATTCAGCTACTATATTCAAGTCCCTCTGCCATTGCCTTAGTAGGGCTCCCATAATCATTCACCTAGACTACAGGCAACTCTTTTCTAATTTCCTTACATCCATAAACCATCTGCAAACCATACTTCACACTGCAATCAAAGTGATGTTTAAGTAAAAATCTGTAGTTGTTGTTCCCTGCTTAAACATATCTATACCATTTCTGATGCCTTTGGGAAAAAGCAATTTTCAAATGGTATACAACAACCTATATCCTCAAGTTTCATCACCCATCCACATGACCTTCTTTCCAGTTTCTGAAAAAGGCTCTTTGTAAAAAGCCAAAAATCTGTTCCTTCTCAGGGCCTTTACACATGCAAGCATTTCCCTAGCCTTCTGCTCTTCTTCCTTCCTCCCCGCTTTCACTGGCTACATGTCATTCATCTTTTAGGTCTTTTCTTTTTTTTTTTTTTGAGACGGAGTTTCGCTCTTGTTACCCAGGCTGGAGTGCAATGGCGCGATCTCGGCTCACCGCAACCTCCGCCTCCTGGGTTCAGGCAATTCTCCTGCCTCAGCCTCCTGAGTAGATGGGATTACAGGCAAGCGCCACCAAGCCCAGCTGATTTTTTGTATTTTTTAGTAGTGACGGGGTTTCACCATGTTGACCAGGATGGTCTCGATCTCTTGACCTCGTGATCCACCCACCTTGGCCTCCCAAAGTGCTGGGATTACAGGCGTGAGCCACCGCGCCCGGCCCATCTTTTAGGTCTTAACTGAAGTTCTTCCTTTCTTAGGGAAGTTGGCCTTAACTCTGTAGACTAGGTTGGATCCTACATTAGAATCCCTTATCATCCTGTACTTCACCTTCTTGACATCCATCATATCTGTATTTGCTTACGTCCCACTCTTCCTCCTAGATGTCAGTAGGGGACAAATGTGATATCTAGGCATCACATGTGCCCCCTAGATATTACAATCCTTACAGTAAGTACAGCACCTCCTAGAGTAGATACTTAATATGTCTTGTTGAACGAATAAAAGATAGTTCAGATGATCTTAGAGAGTATAAAATATACTCAAGATTCTGAACAATTTAAAACTTTTGGAAGAATCATATATTGAGAGCTGTTTCAAGAAAAGGAAAGTACAGACAATAGGACTGGTGAGTTGAAGGTAAGATCTCAAGACAAAGATCAACTAGGAAGCTTATATAAAGTTTAGGTGGCTTGCCTTGACTAGGTCAATAGCAGTGGAATTACAAAAGAGAAAAGATTCTATATTATTTATTGAGTTTACTATAGATATATTAAATATAACATAGGATCACAGTTTAGCAGCAAAAAATGGATACCAAATTCTAATTCTTCAACAACAAAAACTTCGGTAGAGCCAAAGACAGCAAGTGCCCCTTGCCTATTGCTTGAGAACTCCCTTGAATCTCAGCAGTCCATTTCAAATCCAGATCTGAACCAAACATACTAAAGTTATAAATGTAACAATTTAAATCCTTTAAATTATAAAGTTACATTAAATTGTTACAAGTTAAAGTGACTCCAAAAACAACTTCATTAGGCATTCTTTTTACTATTTGAAAGGAGAAATGTATGTTACTGATTTAACAAAAATCTTATGTAGCTCAGCTTTGACAGATTCCTTAAGAGTTACTACTTCAAAGAAGCTGCAAG